GGAGGGAATCACACGCGGTAGATCTCGCTGACGAACTGGTGACTGTCCGACTAAAGTGAACGTGAAAATTTTTTTGTTTATGGTTGTCTTTTCATTTGTATTTGTTTTTGCTCTTGTTTTTTTTTTTTGGTTTGAGTTTTGTTCTTTTTTTTTGTATTTCTCTCTTTCTTTCTTTTTTTGCTTGGGTTTTGGGGGTTTTTTGGTATATTTATGTATTTTTTTATTTTTTATTTTCTGGGGGTTACAAAGAGTTGTGTTTGAATTGATTTTATATGCATAATGATATTTGCTTACAACATGCATGAACAAATATTCGCTGGCAGGATGTTTCTTTTTCCATTCAAAGTTCTGCTGAAGTCTGTGAGGCTTATTGGTAACTGGAAAGACACATGCATTTGGTCTTCTTGAAACACATGCTTATAACATATAGACGTTGGTCTGGGATTTCCTAAATGTTGTAAGTTGCTCCTCGTGAAATACTTCACATAAGTTTGAGGGTTTAGTGCGATAAGGCGAGATCGTATGCCAAACCGTTTTCAAATGTATTAAGAAATTAAACATACTTTCAATTGTTTTAAGGATATCTGTATATAATTGAAGATATCTTTAATTAATTTCTCATATCCAAAATAAAATTACTGATAAATCAAAATTTTATAGAGATATCAAGAACATATTTTGTGATATCTCTAAATGTGTTTAAGATATCTGTAAAACAATTACGATCATAATGTACCTAATTGTATTATATCTGCGCATGTCAGTGAACCAGGTAAGACGTGTCTCGCGGAGCTATCGCGATGGAAATATGTTTAACTCACTATGGAGCTAAAATAGGATGTTTTAGTCAACCAAACAAAACTATAAAGAGACTAAAATTCTATTGTGTTCAGAAATACTACGTTTCTGTATGCCTCTCTCTCGATCGACATACCCGATGTGGGCGGACCCCGAGTGTGTTTGTTTGGACCCGGAAGTACTGATTCACAAAGGGGCACTCTGGCTCAGTCTAACAGTAACCAAATGTGGAGTGCTGGCCATTGATCTTTTGATATATTCACGTGGAACATCGACGGATTAGTACAACTCCGCTAACAGTAAGTTGAAAGACTTTTGTAAACAGTATGATATTGCTGCCTTTGTTGAATCCTTTGTTAAAACGAAATCAGAATTTTGTGACTTTTTAGATGGATTCATTACTGAAAATTGTGCGAGAGAAAGAAGTAAACGTTTTGGTAGACACAGCGGAGTAGTTACTGTATTTATTAGAGGTGTGTGAATAACCAAAACCACTTATTTGGAACAGGCCATGGCTTTATGCAAATTATTGTGCAATGATATATTGTATTTCAAAGGACATTTTAAATGCCATTTTGAAATTAGACGTAGCTTCATTATAAACGATAGCTGACATAAACAATAATAACTTTCATGCAGAAACTTTGAAGGATGTAGCTACCATGGAGTCTCACTGTCACTATAAAATGAAACAAATAGGAGGGGTCGTCTCAAAAGCAAAACCAGGACGGGTGTCGCAGACGATGGTTGGTGTCGGGCTGGGGGATAGAGATATCAGCTAAGATAAGATAATCCTTTAGGCTACTTAAACTGGGGAAGTAAACAGCATGTCATAACAATTTACAAATAATATCCAGTCCTGTCGATCTTCGGGTTATCCTGCCACCTATATATTTTGAGAAATTGAATACGATGCTTTTCTTTGGTTATCAGGTATCATACTCTTTTACATATCTCAACATAAGCCTAATGAAAGAAGGACATGTAAGATGTTAATCAAGAGATGAGACATATTCAACACGCATGAAAAAGTACAAAATATCTTTGAGATGACCCTTTGTGCCTGTAGGCAGCACATGCATTTCAAGCCAGGCAAGTCAACTGTCCGTCGTCATACCTGGCTGAGCGACCTAATTGCCATCTATAGTCTGATCTATTGTTTTCCGCTGCTATTCGTATTTGTTCTAAGTTTTGCCCTATTTTACGAGTAAACATGCTTTTCTGGATACCCTCTTACGCATCCCACTGAACGCCCAGTTAGGCCGATGTGGGTTATTTCGACATGTGCTATATGCAGTTGTGTACATTTTAGGGATTCAGAATAACAGCCTAAAAACAGTGTTTTTCTATTTCCGACTTAGTGTAAATAATTATGGCAAAGAACATTCTGAATTGTGCAGAAGTTTTAGTATGCATATATAGAATGGCTGAGTTTTTACTGACAAACATGGGGAATTCACCTATTTCACACATAATGGATGCGGTGTGGTTGATCATATGATTGCATCATCTGATGTATTTCCATTTCATAGTGACTTTGCAGTCAGCGAACATGATTATTCAAACCATTTCCCTATCTCATGTTCTCTCAACATGACTTTATCTCCAGCAAGTGATCGTGACACAACTCCCACTCTGACCAACCCTACTGTGACTGGATCAAACCAACATGGACACAAGAATTGTGTGACACTTTCATTGATCATATTCAATCTTTGGTGGAAACTAACACTGAGCAATTGCTGAATCAAATGAAAGAAAATATTGACTCTGCAATATTAAACAATATGGACATGTTTCATGATTCTGCTGTCTTCACAGAGAAACTCATATACATCTATTCTAAGGACAATCAAAAAGCAACCTCCCTGGTGGGATAAAGACTGACTGACTGAGTTTGGTTTTACGCCACTTTTAGCAATATTCCAGCAACATTATGGCGGGGGACACCAGAAAAGGGCTTCACACATTGTACCCATGTGGGGATTCGAACCTGGGTCTTCGGCGTGACGAGCCAACGCTTTAACCACTGGGCTACCCCACCGCCGGGTGGGATAAAGAATTAGAGGAATTAAAGCATAAAAAATATGCAGCTCTTCGAGCCCATAGAGACTATGATGTGAACTTTAATGTAATCACATGATTTATATCTTCCTTTAAGTGTCTCTTTAAACTTTAAAAGAAACAGTATTATAAAAACAAGAGAAATCAACTTGTGGAAGCCAGAAAAAATCGTAAGATATTCTGGAGATTACTTAAATCTGTTAAAACTACATCAAAGATATCTGATGACATTGCCTCCAATGACTGGGTCAACCGTTTCTAATCTCTACTGACTACAGATCATCACTCTCAGCCTTCTACTTGTGATATACCAGACTCTGTACATAACACTGTGTGTGTAGAAACTTTAAATGATATCATTACTGAACAAGAAGTGAACTTTATCCCTGATAAACTGAAATACAACAAATCTCCTGGACCTGATGGGATAGCAGCTGAATTTATTAAGTCATCTAGACAATATACTCTTAAACGTTTTACATTGCTTTTTAATGAAATCCTCTGTACAGGGAACTTCCCAGAGATGGAGGTGGGGTGGAAGTATAATTTGTCCCAAGTTCAATGCTGATAGCCTGATGCCACTCAAGACCCCAGCAATTATAGGGGTATATCATTCATTGACTCTCTTTGTAAGCTGTTTGCCAGTATTTTAACCTCCAGCCTGAAGAAATGGAGTGATGATAATAGTATTATAAGTGAAGGGCTAGCTGGCTTTAGAGCAAAATACAGCACTGAAGGCTGTTGTACAAAAATATTCACATTCAAAAAAGGGTAGATTTTATTGTGTATTCATAGATTTTTCAAAATCATTTGATACAATCAACCATAAAGTTTTATTTGACTGTTTGAAAGATGTTGGGATATGGGGCAGGTTTTATAATAGTTTGTAGTCCATGTATTCTAAGCTCTCAACTTGTGTTAGAACCCCCAGTGGTCTCACCAACAGTTTTAAATGTAATCAAGGCACTCGACAAGGCTGTATGTATACTAAGCCCCCAGTTATTCATTATTTTCATAAACTAACTCTTCTCAGTTGTTTAAACATTTGGTGGAAAAGGTGTAAATATCAATATCAATGTGGACAATCTTTATGCATTAATGTTTACATACGACGTGTCTGGAATTGCTAACACTGCACTTCAATCAGAGAAGAGGTTAAATGCCCTAGAGTTGTTTTGTAACTTACTGGTATGAAAATTCATTGTGCTACCTAAAATCATGGTTTTCTGCAATTCTGGTCCTTTAAGACATTATGAATATATTTTTTTTAAGGAAAACAAGTAGAAGTTGCTACATTTTATAGATATCTTGAAAATGTTTTTACCCCAAGGTTAGTTTGGAATTCGCTTACAAGTTTCAACTGCTATTTACTATTATCTGTCCAAAGGAAATCTTCAAATTCTCTAAACTGTAGGTTTTAAAGGTGTTGTCCCACTTCGGGTCAAGGGCACATTACTAATGATAATAGTTTAAAGTATCTGAAAATTAGAATTATTGATCCAGTACATTCAGAATTCGCTCACAAGTTTAAAGTGCCATTTAGTATCATCTGTCCAAAGGAAATCTTCAAGTTTTAATTAACCATAAGTGTTAAAGGCTTTATCCCACTTCTGGTCAAGGGCGTGTGACTAGTAATACTAGTTTGATGTTTGAAATGTTATGTAGTATCATCAGCCCAGAGGAATCACAACATATACAATGAACAAAAAGAGATTCTGTTTAATATGTGTCCTTTTCTTTACATGAAACTCTTTAAATGGTAACTTTGAAATATAATGAAAATATGGCATCACTAAAACTTTAAAAGTCATTTTATCAGTCATTTCTCCATTTACAGTTTTCCATTTACACAGAGTTGAAAATGAACATAAGCCTTCTTGCCCCTCTGCTCCTCTGTATCAAACCTCAAGACATTCACAAACACATGGGATAGACTCCATTATAACTGAACTTTCATTGTTGAGGTGCTTGTAATTCAGGTTCTTGAATTTCTCAATCAGAAAATGACATGCTTCTTTCACGGCTACGTACAAAGTGTGGTGTCTTGTTGCACTGTAAAAATACACAAAGACATATGTACCATATTTGCTTTAACTCACTACACCAAAACCGTTCATAAGAAATGCCCACCAACACACTTAAGTGGGTGGTGCGAGAGGAGAGAAGCTGACTGGAGATGAATGTGTGGAGTGGAGCGGAGTGGGTGGTGCGAGAGGAGACAAGCTGACTGGAGAGGAATGAGTGGAGTAGAGCGGAGTGGGTGGTGCGAGAGGAGAGAAGCTGACTGGAGAGGAATGAGTGGAGTGGAGCGGAGTGGGTGGTGCGAGAGGAGAGAAGCTGACTGGAGAAGAATAAGTGGAGGAGCGGAGATGGGGAGAGGGTGGTGCGAGAGGAGAGAAGCTGACTGGAGAGGAATGAGTGGAGTGGAGCGGAGTGGGTGGTGCGAGAGGAGAGAAGCTGACTGGAAAGGAATGAGTGGAGTGGAGCGGAGTGGGTGATGCGAGAGGAGAGAAGCTTAAAGGAGAGGAATGAGTGGAGTGGAGCGGAGTGGGTGGTGCGAGAGGAGAGAAGCTGACTGGAGAAGAATGAGTGGAGAGGGAGCGGAGTGGGTGGTGCGAGAGGAGAGAAGCTGACTGGAGAGGAATGAGTGGAGTGGAGTGGAGTGGGTGGTGCGAGAGGAGAGAAGCTGACTGGAGAAGAATGAGCGGACAAAGTGGAGTGGTGTGAGCGGAGAGAAGCTGACAGGAGAGGAATGAGTGGAGTGGAGCGGAGTGGGTGGTGCGGAGAGGGTGGTGCGAGAGGAGAGAAGCTGACTGGAGAGGAATGAGTGGAGGGAGCGGAGGGTGAGGTGCGAGGAGGAGAGAAGCTGACTGGAGGGAATGGTTGGAGTGGAGGAGTGGAGTGGGTGGTGTGGTACGAGAGGAGGAGAAGCTGACTAGAGAGGAGGAAGTGGAGCGGAGGAGTGGAGGTGGTGGTGCGAGAGGAGAGAAGCTGACTGGAGAGAGAATGAGACTGGAGGTGGAATGAGTGGAGTGGGGTGGTGCGAGAGGAGAGAAGCTGAATGGAGAGGAATGAGTGGAGGTGGGAGAGTGGAGGTGGAAGTGAGAGGAGAGAAACTGGGACCGGAGAAGAATGAAGCGAGTGGAATGTGAGTGGTGTAGGAGGAGAGAAGCTGACTGGAGGAATGGAGCCGGAGCGGAGCCGGGAGGCGGAAAAGGACGAGTGGAGCGACCGGAGGAAATAACCGGAGTGGAACGGAGCGGAGCCAGGAAACGAGTGGAGCGGAGTGGCGCCGACTGAGCCGAGAAGACCGAGGAAATCGACCGGAGGAATGCGGACAGCGGACCGGAGGAACGGACCGGAGGAAATATGGCCGAACCGGAGAAACGGAGGAAACGGACAAGAGGAAATGAGGAAATGCGGACTGAAAGCTGACTGGATAAACGACCGGAGGAATGAGAACGCCGGACCGGACCGGCATGGAAATGGAGGAAGGACAGCAGAGTGGAATGAGGAGCCGGACCGGAAAGGAGTGGAGCCGGACCGGAGCAACGAGGCCGGACCGGAGGAAGAAGCCGGACCGGAGGAACGAGGAAGCCGACCGGAGGAAGGAAACGAGGAATGAGCCGGACCGGAGCCGGAGAAGAACGGAGCGGACCGGTGGCTGAAACGGAGGAACGCCGACCGGAGAAGAATGAGCGGAAGCTGAACGAGGAAATGGACGGAGGAGGCTGACCGAGGAACGAGCCGACCGGAGGAAATGGAGGAAACGAGGAAGACACCGAGAAGACCGGAGGAACAGCTGGAGGAACGAGGAAGGAAACCGAGACCGGAGGCATGGAGGAATGGAGGAGGAAGGAGGAGTGGAGGAACAGAGCAACGGAGGAGGAACAGAGAAGGAGGAACCACAGGTCGTCATCATATCGTCGATCGGTCGTCGTCATTTCGTCATCGTCGTCATCGAAGTATCTCTCGATAATCATAAATCGGTCATCGGCTCATCGGCTTTCTTCGTCGTCGTCGGTCATCGGCTCATATCATCATATCGTCCGGTCCGTCATCGTCGATCGATAAATCATTCAGCTCAATCGATCGATATCGTCTCATCATCGTCGATCCGTCATAAATCGTCGATATCATCGATCGACATCATCAATATCGTCATCGTCGGTCCGTCAATCGTCGATATCGTCATTTCGTCGTCATCGTCGGTCCGTCGTAAAGTCGTCGGTCGGTATCGTATCGATATCGTCTCATCATCGTCCGGTCCGTCAATCATCGATATCATCGATCGTCCGTCGATTCATTTCGATAAATATCGTCATCATCGTCGGTCCGTCAATAGATATTCAATCGTCGATCCGTATCGTCATCAAGTCAGTCCGTCGACAAATCAGTCAGTATCGATCGTCGGGTTAAGTGGGCGGGTGGTGGAGCAGGCGGAGTGGAGAGTAGAGAGCAGAGAAGAGTTCAGTGGAGTGATTTGAGTTAAGTGGGCAGAGTGAGTGGAGCGGAGCAGAGCGAGTCATTTCAGCAGAGCTGAGAGGACTGAGAGTAGTGGAATGAGCATAGTTGAACAGAGCGGAGTCGAGAGTTGTGTGGAGTGAAGTGGAGCAGAGCAGACTATCTTATCATTTACTACTTCGTGACCTTTACAGGTATGTAACAGGATGCAAATCCTGCCTTTACTTCCTGATGCGAATATCTCTGGAGAAACTTGTTGTGTGACTCTCTCGCACTTGCCATCATACACTGTAAAGGAGAATACATTTTAGCTGGACATACCTTGGTGAGTTTGATGAAACATTGACCACACCATGAAGACCACACGGAGTGAAACTATGGACATGAAGAATAGTGGAATGGAAGGATGCATTTAGTTATGTTAATCTAAGCAATATCAAAGGTGAATTATGATCATTTAACTTTGAGGCTGTTTCTGGCACCCTATAATTTTGGTTACTATACTTACAGTCTGTGCTAAAATCTCAATTTGCTGGACTGAAAATGAAACACTGGCATTCCTTTTCAGCAAGTGTGTGTGTTCTTATAGACTAATGCTTAGTCTCTGAATATATATTATAATTTTGATAGTAACAAAACAAGCCCATTTTAAATTGAAAGGAGCCCCAGGGAGACCATAGATTCTAAGGAAATCCTAGACTTGCTTTATTAAGGGCTCAAGCACTGCCAGAGAGAAGGCTTGGCAGTAGGGAAAATATAATGTCAGTTCAGGGACTGTAGAGACAGACTAGTGTTCTTACAAGACAAGAACAATTTTACCAGACTTGGCTATTATTAGATTAGTGGAGTAAAGTCGAGGACTGTACTTCCCAGTTTCTCAGGATATCTGCAAAAATTTATAAATGGTTGGATTATTGTTCTAACCCCAGAATCCTTATTACGGTAGTTTTTATTAAGTTGCTTCTTGATGTGTGTAGTGTATCATTCGTAAGATATATATGAGAGATCATGTTCATGTGTTCAATGCAACTATTGGAGTTAAGTGGGCGGAGTGAGAGTGGGTGTAGTGGAGGTAGAGGAGAGGAACAGAGCAGAGCGGAGTGTAGTGTAGAGTAGTGATTGGAGTTAAGTGGGCGGAGTGAGTGGAGTGGAGCGTAGAGGAGGTAGAGGAGCAGAGAAGAGTGGAGTGTAGTGATTGGAGTTAAGTGGGCGGAGTGAGTGGAGCAGAGCGGAGTGGAGGTAGAGGAGCAGAGAAGAGTTCAGTGGAGTGATTTGAGTTAAGTGGGCAGAGTGAGTGGAGCGGAGCAGAGCGAGTCATTTCAGCAGAGCTGAGAGGACTGAGAGTAGTGGAATGAGCATAGTTGAACAGAGCGGAGTCGAGTTGTGTGGAGTGAAGTGGAGCAGAGCAGACTATCTTATCATTTACTACTTCCGTGACCTTTACAGGTATGTAACAGGATGCAAATCCTGCCTTTACTTCCTGATGCAGATATCTCTGGAGAAACATTGTGTGACTCTCTCCGCACCCTTTCCCGTCGCCACTGTAAGGAGAATACATTTTTAGCTGGACATACCTTGGTGAGTTTGATGAAACATTGACCACTACCCGCTAGCCTATTAGACACACTACCTCATTTCTTACAAACCATGGACATATTTAAGAATAAACAGGAATGGCCGGTGCATTTAGTTATGTTAATCTAAGCAATATCAAAGGTGAATTATATGATCATTTAACTTTGAGGCTGTTTCTGGCACCCTATAATTTTGGTTACTATACTTACAGTCTGTGCTAAAATCTCTCAAATTTGCTGGACTGAAAATGAAACACTGGCATTATTTTCAGCAAGTGTGTGTGTTCTTATAGACTAATGCTTAGTCTCTGAATATATATAATTTTGATAGTAACAAACAAGCCCATTTACATTGAAAAGGAGCCCCAGGGAGACCAGAGATTCCTGAACCTGGGGAAATCTAGACTTGCTTTATTTAGGGCTTTAGCATTGCAGAGAGAGCTTGGCAGTGGGGAAACTAATGTGGGTCAGGGACTGTGAGACAGACTAGTGTTCTTACAAGACAAGAACAATTTTTACCAGACTTGGCTATTAGATTAGTGGGTAAAGTCGAGGACTGTACTTCAGTTTCTCAGGATATCTGCAAAGAATTTATAAATGGTTGGATTATTGTTCTAACCCCAGAATCCTTATTACGGTAGTTTTTATTAGGATTGCTTCTTGATATTGTGTAGTGTATCATTCGTAAGATATATATGAGAGGTCATGTTCATGTGTTCAATGCAACTACTTGGAGTAAAGAGAAAGAAATACATGAAATTGCATATCTTCCTCCAATTACTTAATGTTATATTAATACTTATTAGTCTTTTCCTGGCATTTACTAGTCATTTGTACTTTAATTTTTGTCAAACATAATTCTTAGAGCTTCGGGTTGTGTATCATACCAGTCAAGGGGAAAGCCTAAACAGAGTTTACTAGAACTACCCATTGATACAATCCAACAGAGCCTTGTCAAGTTTAACTTCTTAATCTGGACATGTTATAAAATAATGCAATAGTTTCAAAGATGCTTTTTAGCCTTCTTCTGAGTCATACCGAAATCAGTACATACCTGCAATAAATTGAGCTAACTGAAAAAGGATATCAAACAACAGTCTTGTGATATCCTTTATGTTTTTTTCATGGCAAAATGATGCATTTAGGAATACATGTAATGACATCTCTAGTAATTGATAAAATCACTTGGTTGATATGGTTTTTATGTTTGATATATCTTAAATCCATAATTTTATAAATCAGTATCTTAAAAAAATAAACATGTTTCGTCAGAAAACATCAACACTTGGTCTGTTATTATTTTTAGCTTGAACAGCACCTGCAACTTTTGAGAAAGTATTTTTTCTTTTCTATTCATTTTTTGAAAAATCAATGGTTTATTTTGTTATTTCGATAGTGTTAGCTATTCTTCAATTCTATCTAATCCACAATATAGAGAAAAGAAGTGAAATATAATATTTCATAGAAATTCTTTATTCACCTGAGGATGTGTAGAGAGTGAGCGAGTGAGTTTAATTTCACACCGCTTTTAGCAATATTCCAGCAATATCATGATGGGGGACACCGGAAATGGGTTTCACACATTTTACCCATGAGGGGAATGGAGGTTGGGTAGAGAAGGAAAGGGGTCTTGTCATCTGAGGGGGGAAGGGGTGCAAACAGAATACAATTTCAATTTGAAATTTGTTAATTTAAGGACTGTGGGGTAAAATCTTACCTTGAAAAGTTTTGGTTGATAGAGTGACATGTTCAGCAATCAGTGATTTTGGTTGGTGAATTTGATAAAATGAATTTAAACATATGTTATGTGTGGGTTTTTATTATTTATTGTCAAGAAAAAAGCACTGAAGAAAAATCATGAATAATGTGCATGCAGTTATAGATGTTCAGTTGTAAATGAAGATGGAAAAGGTAAGTATGATAAGTAATGCTTGCAATTTCCTAAACTAACAATTTTAATAGGTTATGGTTTAAACATATTTTTATTTCCAAAGAAATCTGGATCAGTAAAAAGGCAAAATTTGCTTATGTAATTACCTCTCCAGGTAATAAGTTGACACAGCTGGTAATACGTTTTACAAGGTAGTGCTAAACATAGCATACAGTTGCACAAACGGAATATATAAAGTCAGTATTTTTGAGTCAGTGTCCTACAATAGGCTTATAGGAATGTGCTTGAAGTATTGAGCTTTTAGCCTGCATCACAGAGCCTATATTTCCGAGGCTCTCTTAGCGCTAGGATAGTCGTAAGTTAATGTTAATGTATGGCACTAACGACTGACTATCTTAGCACTAAGAGAGCTTCGAAAATCTAGGCCCAGGTTCGAAGTTTCTGATATGTATACCATGACTATCAGGACCATTAACTTCCTCATCAATAATGGTATGACACACCTATGATGCAACTTCCAAAACAAAAACACTTTTGAGTAGTATTTCATTGTTATCACGACCAACAATGTCATGTACCTAAGTACATGTTGTGCTCAATCACAACAATTAAGCAAAATTCTGTATGTTTTCTGTGGAAATAACATTCATATCATTCTATACAATATTTTAAATGCATACCATTGTAAGGCTGGTTTCTTCCAACTTATGTATTACAGGGCAATAAAACTATAACAAGAACAAGAAGTTTATTTAGTATCAGAGGTCACATGGCTGAAAGTACAAAGCATAAGGACACCCATGTGCACAAGGACAGGTGGGACAAATGTTATGCAACCATAATGCAATGTATAGTTTTTAAAATATGGCGTGTTTTCTTCTATAATCCACATGATAATTAATGAAACATTAGTAGACCAGCTTTTGTGTATCTATAAGTGCTAACTATATTGAAGATTCTTCGTTTGTCAGATACCCGAGTATAAGGCTAGACAGAATATATCTTGGTATGATGTGTAGTAGCATAGTGGCACACATATTTCTCATATTGAAATTAGGACAAAACTATGTATAAATATCTTAAAATAGTCTGTAAAAGTATAGGTCCTTGATGTGAGTTTAATTGTTTCTCTTACAATATAGAAATCTATAGGCTTTCAAAGAATAGTGATGATGATCTGTTTTGTGAAGTGAGTAGTTTGGACTGCTTGGCTGGTATTCTTCAATAACATATTTGTCATGCAGATCAGGAGCATGTGAACTCTTGTATTTGTTCACCAGGACAGGTATGTGTAAATGTATAGGGTATCCAACTTATATCCAGTGCAAATCTTCAACGATAGGAGTGTTCTATAATAGACAGTAAATAATGCCTAAAAATGGGGTCTTCCCACTTGTCCAGCACCTATTGTTTAAAGGTTCTAGATCACTGGAGCACGATAATCCCTGAGAACAAAAGGTGAACTTCTTATTTTGCTCCCCTGTCGGTCTGTGATATTTGGTCACCCAAGCCGGTCAGAGAATATTTGGTTACCCAATATTTAATGATGACTTTAAGTACAAAAAGGAAAAAAAAAAATCTCACACAGTTACACAATTATTTTACACATTTCATGAGTACTTTTACATGCATACATCTATTGCACATATCTTCATTCATTTTTCATATTGCATAGCACTTATAAATACACAGTTACATGCAATTATTGCACATGTTGCATACAATACATTTGTACATTAATTCTAGATCACTAGTACCTGGTTAAATGGTTTAAACATATTTATTTCCAAAAAAGAGGAACCGGATTGGTAAACAAGCAGTATGGTGCTTATATGAATACCGCTCCGGAATACAGATATATTATAGATATAATAATCGTACGGAGAAAAACATGATATTAACAAACGATAAACAATAGCTTTCTGGAAATGTAACAATCATAAACTGTAACCTAGCCGCTTTTAACGTTAGAACCATTAGTGTCGGAAAATACTTAATAGTAAGTGCAATTTCGTTTTTTATATTACAACACAAATCTGCCTGACAGTACAATGAAAGAATGGATAGATTCTAATAATTCAACATTACCTTTAGTAGATCCATGAGAGTGGCCGTATAGTATTGATTTGATGTCATATCCTTTAGTATAGAAGTGCATTTTATGTCTTATGTCAGTGTAATTAACGCACGAAAAGAAATAGTGAATTGGATCTTCGTAACAGTAGCCACAAGAACAAGAGGGATTTGAAGATATAAATCGTTGATATTTATGTGCGTTTAAATCGCTGCAACCGAGCCTGAGGCGTGAATGGATAATCTGACAGAATCTTGTTCCAAAGCTTAAATTGAAGTAATTTTGACTATTATTATTATTTGACCCATTAATCTGTTTCTTAAAACTACCCAAAGTAGCCGTTTCTCTATAATCGGTAGACAAACAATTCCACAATCTTACTGTATCTGGGAGAAATGACTTAGCATAACTTGCACTTTTACTATCGATAGTTTGGAGCTTCAAACGGTCTCGGAAAATGTAGCTTGTTGTGTCAGATACCTTAGGAGGGACGAGATCGCTCAGATATTTTGGAGTTAAATTATTAACCATCTTATAGAAAAACGTTAGTTTTTTGGATGTATCTTCGAGTACATAGTGGTTGGAAGTTTGTCTCATCATAAATTTTGTTGTGACTCGTGCCGCGAACAGCACCGCAAATAGTTCTAAGTGCATCAAGATTAAGCTTTTCCAGTGTTAGTGCTTGCTGTTGGGTACAATTGTCCCAGATGTGACAACAATAGTCGAAAATAGGTAAGATATATTGTTTGTACATTGTTTGTAAAGTTCTACGTGAGAGACGATATTTAAAACCTCTAAGACAGTTTACCATGGGTGCAACCTTTTTTATCGATACAGTTAACATGGTCAGTCCAGGAACAATCGTGCTGTAAAGTAAGTCCCAAATGTTCATGGCTATTAACGTCATTAATATTACCATCCTTCATTGTTAAGTTTCGTTTTGGGCTGGGCTGAACTTTACGAGAGAATTGTATAGAATCTGTTTTATTAGGATTAAATGTAACTTGCCATTTGTCAGCCCAATCAGAAATTTTACGTAGATCATTATTAAGAGACAGAGCAGTTTCATCAGGATCATTTATTATAGCATAAAGTGATGTGTCATCTGCGAAGAGACGGATATTGCTGTTTATTCCTTCAACGATGTCGTTGATATAAACTATAAGCAATAATGGTCCTAAGACAGAGCCTTGGGGAATCCCGGCTAGGATTGATCTTTGATCAGACGCGTAACCGTTAATAACAACTCGCTGAACTCTATTGTCTAGATAACTCTCAAACCATTTCAACAAGTTACCCCGATACCATAACGTCTTAGTTTATGTATAAAACCTTTATGCCAGACCTTGTCAAAAGCCTTACTTACGTCACAAAATACAGCCCTAATTTCCTTACCGCTATCTAATGCACCCGCTATAAAGTCATACAGGTACGTTAGTTGATTAACCGTTGAATCGCCTGGCATGAAACCGGATTGTAAGTTTGTAAGCATTTCATTATCCCTAAAATAATTAAATACATGTTTAAAAATGCATTTTTCGAAAATCTTTGCTACACAGCTTGTTAGTGCGACAGGTCGATAGTTAGAGCATTCATTTGTACTGCCTTTTTTGTGTATAGGAACAACTGATGCCTCCTTCCAGATATCAGGAAACACTGTATTCTTTAATGATAGTTTAAAAACTTCAGATAAGGGAACTGCTAATTGTCTAGCATTCATTTTCAGAAATATATTGCCAATACCATCTGGGCCTGTTGCATTAAATGATATCAACAGAGGAGAGAAAATCATGGATTTCTTGCGGACTGAGTGTTAAGTCACATAATGGGTTATCTACCTCTAAACGAATTTCAGGAATATCCCTATTAGGAGCAGCTACTCTTGCCTGATCTGCAAAGAAATCATTCATAATGTTTGCTGTATCAGCACTATCATCATATAGTTTATCGTTATGGATTATAGAAGGAAAAGTATTAATATTGGTGGTGTGTTTACTTTTAATATAATTCTTAACTAAACGCCACCATGTTTTGGTACCATGTTCATTATTTATTTGTTCATCAATTTTATTCATGTACATCTTCTTTGCATTTCTTACCGCGGATATAACTTTATTTCTACTCAATCTAAAAAGTGCCCAGTCAGATGATGAGTTACGCCTTTTTGCGATTTTATGATGGCGATTGCGTTTACCTGGTTAAATGTGACACTGCATCGAGATATTCCATAGCACATTTGTCTCCGTTGAGGTATTGTCCATCTGACGATATCTCCGCTTACGAGGAGGTTTGGAACCACCACCTCGAAGCTGCAGTATGCTGGCCTCCGTGTATGCCTGCAATTTTTTATAAGGTCTATGAATTTAAAAATGTTCGGATGTGAGCCGGCTATTTGAAGGCTGAGCTTACGGTGTCAGCCTTCCACATGGTTGGTGGTACGTGGCCCCACTGTGTTATAATTGTTCCACAAATATTGCCCGTGGTTTCCTTCTACCCAAAACGTTGTCATATAGTCCGTGAAATGTTCAATATTTTGACCATCGGGGGCATGCTCTAAAGTCTGCCACCAAACATCACTCACTAGATGAACAGGCACTAGCGGCAGTGCTATTGCCCGTCTCACCAGGAGGGACAAAGCATCCTGATTATACACACCAATTTAATTTATTCTATTCAATTTGATTACTTTAGTGAAAATTAAACACAATTTGTATGTTCACTAGGTGTCAAAATCATGACATGTGAACCATATTCACCTCATCATGTTGGTAGGATAAACACTGCAGCCATATCCGCTTGCATGATATGGTGAGCGGTGTTCACTAATCCCCTAGCCAGTTGGACGAGGGGGGACCTTTTTTCATAGGGATCAACAAACTTTGCAAAACCATTCACCCATAACTCTTAATCCCCTCAGCCTGCCGGACAAGTGGGAATAACCCACATCTTGTGGCCCAGCTACTAATGTAAGCTACTTCAGCAGATGGTTGCTGGTGTCAAAAAAGCTAGAATTACAAAATCAACAGTACAACTTTTAAGAGATTAGTTTCTGTATTATTACCCATGTTCCCTTAACAAAAAGTAAGATAAGACTTTTAACTTTTTCCTGTCATCATAAGCAATATTATATTTACGTCATACTGCCAAGCTTTCCACTTGAAACATTACATTGATGTCATACTGTCCAGCCTCCATCAGTAATATAACATTGATGTCATACTGCCAAGCTTTCCATTTGAAACATTACATTGATGTCATACTGCCAAGCTGTCCATTTGAAACATTACATTGATGTCATACTGCCAAGCTTTCCATTTGAAACATTACATTGATGTCATACTGTCCAGCCTCCATCAGTAATATTACATTGATGTTATCCTGTCCAGCCTCCATCAGTAATATTACATTGAGGTCATACTGTCCAGCCTCCATCAGTAATAGTACATTGATGTCATACTGTCCAGCCTCCATCAGTAATAGTACATTGATGTCATACTGCCAAGCTTTCCGTTTGAAACATTACATTGATGTCATACTGTCCAGCCTCCATCAGTAATGTTACATTGATGTCATACTGTCCAGCCTCCATCAGTAATATTACATTGATGTCATCCTGTCCAGCCTCCATCAGTCATATTACATTGATGTCATACTGCCAAACTTTCCATTTGAAACAATACATTGATGTCATACTGCCAAGCTTTCCATTTGAAACATTACATTGATGTCATACTGTCCAGCCTCCATCAGTAATATTACATTGATGTCATACTGTCCAGCCTCCATCAGTAATATTACATTGAGGTCATACTGTCCAGCCTCCATCAGTAATATTACATTGAGGTAATACTGCCAAGCTTTCCATTTGAAACATTACATTGATGTCATACTGTCCAGCCTCCATAAGTAATGTTACATTGATGTCATACTGTCCAGCCTCCATCAGTAATATTACATTGATGTCATCCTGTCCAGCCTCCATCAGTCATATTACATTGATGTCATACTGTCCAGCCTCCATCAGTAATATTACATTGATGTCATCCTGTCCAGCCTCCATAAGTAATGTTACATTGATGTCATCCTGTCCAGCTTCCATCAGTAATATTACATTGATGTCATACTGCCAAGCTTTCGATTTGAAACATTACATTGATGTCATACTGCCAAGGTCTGCATTTGAAACATTACATTGATGTCACACTGTTATGTTGTCACTTTGTTACCTTTTCACTTTCTTATCTTGTCACTGGTATACATTCACTAGAATTATCACACTGCAATATAGGAATAGTTATAGCTTTCGCTAGAATTATCCCTCTGCCATATGTAAATTTTATGGCATTCACTAGAAGTGTAACTCTGCCATAGATAAACATAGTTATAGCATTCACAAGAAGTATCACTCTGCCATATGTAAATGTTATTTCACTCACTAGAATTATCACTCTGCCATATGTAAATGTTATGGCATTCACTAGAATTATCACTCTGCCATAGATATCTATAGTTATAGCATTCACTAAAAGTATCACTCTACCATATGTAAATGTTATGGCATTCACTAGAAATATCACTACCATATATATAGTTATAGCATTCACTAGAATTATCACTCTGCCATAGATATCTATAGTCATAGCATTCACTAAAAGTATCACTCTACCATATGTAAATGTTATGGCATTCACTAGAATTAACACTGCCATATATTTATATATATACTTATAGCATTCACTAGAATTAGCAACCTGCCATGCATATATATATAGTAATAGCATTCACTAGAATGATTACTCTTCCATAAATAGTGAGTGAGTGAGTATGGTTTTATGCTGCTTTAGCAATATTCCAGCAATATCACGGCGGGGGACACCAGAAATGGGCTTCACACATTGTACCCATGTGGGGAATCGAACCCGGGTCTTCTGCTTGACGAGCGAACACTTTAACCACTAGGCTACCCCACCGCGCATTTCCATAAATAAATGTTATAACTTGTCACTTTGTTACCTTCTCACTGTGTTACTTTGCCAATTTGTTACCTTGTCACTTTTGTACCTTGTCACTGGTATACTTAGTTACATAGTTAGTTACTTAGCTTGTTACTTTGTCACCTTTTTACATTGTTACCTTTTCACATTGTTACCTTTTCACTTGTTACCATGTCACTGGTATACTTTGTTACTTAGCTTCCTACCTTGTCACTTTGTTACCTTGTCACTTTGTTACCTCGTCACTTTGTTACCTTGTCACTTTGATACCTTGTCACTTTGATACCTTGTCACTGGTATGCTTAGTTACTTAGCTAGTTTCATAGCTTGGTACTTTGTTACCTTGTCACTTGGTTACCTTGCCACTTTGTTACCTTGTCACTGGTATACTTAGTTAGTTACTTAGCTTGCTACTTTGTCACTTTGTTACATTTCACTTTGTTACCTTGACACTTTGTTACCTTGTCACTTTGATACCTTGAAACTGGTATGCTTAGTTACTTAGCTTGTTTCTTAGCTTGTTACCATGTCACTTTGTTACCTTGTCACCTTGTTACATTTTAACTTTGTTACCTTGTCACTGGTATACTTAGTTACTTAGTTTGCTACCTTGTCACTTTGTTACCTTTTCACTTTGTTATGTTGTCACTTTCTTACCTTTTCACTTTGTTACCTTGTCACTGGTATACATTCACTAGAATGATCATACTGCAATATATGAATAGTTATAGCTTTCACTAGGCTTATCACGCTTCAATATATGAATAGTTATAGCATTCACTAGAATTATCCCTCTGCCATATGTAAATGTTATGGCATTCACTAGAAGTGTACCTCTGCCATAGATATACATAGTTATAGAATTCACAAGAAGTATCACTCTGCCATATGTAAATGTTATGGCATTCACTAAAAGTATCACTCTGCCATATGTAAATGTTATGGCATTCACTAGAATTATCACTCTGCCATAGATATCTATAGTTATAGCATTCACTAAAAGTATCACTCTGCCATATGTAAATATTATGGCATTCACTAATATTATCACTCTGCCATATATCTATAGTTACAGCATTCACTAGAATTATCACTCTGCCATATGTAAATGTTATTCATTCACTAGAATTACCACTCTGCCATATGTAAATGTTATGGCATTCACTAGAAGTGTCCCTCTGCCATAGGTATATATAGTTATAGCATGTCACTTTGTTACCTTGTCACTGGTATACTTAGTTAGTTACTTAGCTTGTTGCCTCATCACTTTGTTACCTTGTCACTTTCATACTTTGTCACTGGTATGCTTAGTTACTGCCTTGTTTCTTAGCTTGTTACTTGTCACTATGCTACTTTGTCACTTTGTTACCTCGTCACTTTGCTACCTTGTCACTTTGCTACCATGTCACTGGTATGCTTAGTTATTTAGCTTGTTTCTTAGCTTGCTACTTTTCACTTTGTTACCTTGTTACCTTGACACTTAGTTACTAAGCTTGCTACCTTGTCACTTTGTTACATTTTCACTTTGTTACCTTTACACTTTGTTACCTTGTCACTGGTATACATTCACTAGAATTGTCACACCGCAATATATGAATAGTTATAGCTTTCAGTAGACTTATCACGCTTCCATATATGAATAGTTATAGCATTCGCTAGAATTATCACTCTGCCATATATCTATAGTTATAGCATTCACTAGAATTATCACTCTGCCATATATCTATAGTTATAGCATTCACTAGAATTATCTCACTGCAATATATGAATAGTTATAGCTTTCACTAGACTTATCACTCTGCCATATATGCATAGTTATAGCATTCACTAGAATTATCACTTTGCCATATATCTATAGTTATAGCATTCACTAGAATTATCACACTGCCATATATGAATAGTTATAGCTTTCACTAGAATTATCACACTGCCATATATGAATAGTTATAGCTTTCACTAGACTTATCACTCTGCCATATATGCATAGTTATAGCATTCACTAGAATTATCTCGCTGCAATATATCTATAGTTATAGCATTCATAAGACTTATCACTCTGCCATATATCTATAGTTATAGCATTCACTAGAATTATCACACTGCAATATAGGAATAGTTATAGCATTCACTAGACTTATCACTCTGCCATATATGCATAGTTATAGCATTCACAATAAGTATCACTCTGCCATATGTAAATTTCATGGCATTCACTAGAAGTGTCCCTCTGCCATAGATATATATATAGTTATAACATTCACAAGAAGTATCACTCTGCCATATGTTAATGTTATGGCATTCACTAGAATTATCATTCTGCTATATGTAAAGTTATTTCACTCACTAGAATTATCACTCTGCCATATGTAAATGTAACATGGCATTCACTAGAAGTGTGACTCTGCCATAGATATATATTGTTATAGCATTCACTAGAAGTATCACTCTACCATATGTAAATGTTATGGCATTCACTAGAATTATCACAACAATATATATATAGTTATAGCATTCACTAGAAGTATCACTCTGCCATATGTAAATGTTATGGAATTCACTAGAATTATCACTACCATATATATAGTTATAGCATTCACTAGAAGTATCACTCTGCCATTTGTCAATATTATGGCATTCACTAGAATTACAGTACAACCAGAAATTATTGAGAATTTAAAGATTGTAAAAAAAAATTTCACTCATTACTCACATATTAAATGTGAATATTAGCAGAACATAACTCCAGTTTCAAAGACAGGTGAACAGTTAGTATTTTATCAAGTCACCATGGGCAGCAATGCAGGCTTCAATGCGGCGGGGCATACTACTGATCAAAGAAGTTAGAAAGTCATGGTCCATGCTGTCCTAATATCGGACCACCTCTTCTTTCATTTCAGCAATATTTGTCAGATTTCTTATTGACACTTTCCTTCATAAGTCCCCAAACATTTTCTATTGGATTTAGGTCAGGGCTATAGTTTGGCCAATCTTATAATGTCATATTTTGGGTCCGAACCAGGCCTGTGAATGCTTTGAACGATGTTTTGGGTCGTTGTCCTGCTGGAAAATCCAAAAAATGTCTATAGAACACGTGAGCAGATGGAAGTAAATGTCCCTCGAGAATATCTGTGTACCGCTCACTGTTCATTTCCCTTCAAATACACAGAGGGGTGTTGCCCCTAACACAGATATGCCACCCCACACGTTAAATTTCGGACTGTACTTTGGGCGCTGATACAAAGGGTTTTTTCAGTTTGTGGTCCAGAATGTCAGTGTATTAGGAAACAGCCACACAGAACTTTCATCTGAGAAAATCACATTGTCCCAGTTCAAATGTCTATGCTGTAAGCACCAGTTCAACCTTCGCTCCTTTTGTTCAGGTTTCATGATCGGTGATGGAATTCCTCGACTTTTTTGCCAACCCATTGCATGCAGCTCAGTTCTAATTGTCTCCGTACAGACAGCCACAGTTCCTTTATCAATCATATCCAGCCTTACGTTTTCTAAACTCCTTCGTTTGTTTTTAGAAAGAAGAATACCAAGCCGCCTCCTGTCACCGACAGTCAATTTTCTGAGCCTACCTGCGCCCCCCCTGGTGCTCAATGCCATATCCACTTGCAATGTTTTTCAAAACACGATAAACGGTTGACAAAGGGATGCCTGTTCTACTTGAAATCACTTTAGCTGATCTGATGTCCTTGTTATAATACTCTAAAATCAACTTCCTCTTCTCTAAATCGTCCATACTGAGGATCACTGAAAATGCCATCCGCTAGCCAGTAAACAAAGGGGGATAACTCTTCACAAACTAATGAAAAAGGATTAATGAAGTTGTCTCTCTTGAATGAAACCAAGCACTTGATAGCTGGTCAAGGTTGTTTCTACTACTAGAATGATTACTCTTCCATAAATATATGTTATAACTTGTCACTTTGTTACCTTGTCACAGTGTTACTTTGTCAATTTGTTACCTTGTCACTTTGTTACCTTGTCACTTTGTTACCTTGTCACTGGTATACATTCACTAGAATTATCACACTGCAATATATATATAGTTATAGCTTTCACAAGAATTATCATTCTGCCATATGTAAATTTTATGCCATTCACAAGAAGTGTCACTCTGCCATAGATATATAGATATATATATATATAGTTTTAGCATTCACAAGAAGTATCACTCTGCCACATGTAAATGTTATGGCACTCACTAGACTGATCACTCTGCCATATATCTATAGTTATAGCATTCACTAGAATTATCACTCTGCCATATGTAAATGTTATGGCATTCACTAGAAGTGTCATTCTGCCATAGATATATATAGTTATAGCATTCACTAGAAGTATCACTGTGCCATATGTAAATGTTATGGCATTCACTAGAATTATCACTGTCATATTTAGTTATAGCATTCACTAGAATTATCACCCTGCCATGCATATATATATAGTAATAGCATTCACTAGAATTATTACTCTTCCATAAATAAATGTTATAACTTTGTTACCTTCTCACTGTGTTACTTTGTTACCTTGTCACTTTGTTACCTTGTCACTGGTATACGTAGTTACTTACTTAGTTACATAGCTTGTTACCTTGTCACTTTGTAATCATGTCACTTTGTTACCTTGTGACTGGTATACTTACTTAGTTACTTAGCTTGTTACTGGTCACTTTGTTACCTTGTCACTGGTATACTTGGTTACTTAGTTACTTAGCTTGCTACCTTGTCACTTTACCTTGTCACTGTGTTACCTCATCACTTTGTTACCTTGTCACTTTGATGCCTTGTCACTGGTATGCTTAGTTTCTTAGCTTGTTACCTTGTCACTTTGTTACCTTGTTACATTTTCACTTACCTTGTCACAATTTTTATAGCAGTTTTATGCTTGTCACTTTTCACTGGTATACTTAGTTAGTTACTTAGCTTGTTTCTTGGCTTGTTACCTTGTCACTGGTATACTTAGTTAGTTACTTAGCTTGCTACCTAGTCACTTTGTTACCTTTTCACTTTGTTACCTTGTCACTGGTATACTTAGTTAGTTACTTAGCTTGCTACCTAGTCACTTTGTTACATTTTCACTTTGTTACCTTGTCACTTTGTTACCTCGTCACTGGTATACTTAGTTAGTTACTTAGCTTGCTACCTAGTCACTTTGTTACCTTTTCACTTTGTTATGTTGTCACTTTGTTACCTTTTCACTTTGTTATGTTGTCACTTTGTTACCTTTTCACTTTGTTACCTTCTCACTGGTATACATTCACTAGAATTATCACACTGCAATATATAAATAGTTATAGCTTTCACTAGACTTATCACTCTTCCACATATGAATAGTTATAGCATTCACTAGAATTATCACTCTGCCATATGTAAATTTTATGGCATTCACTAGACTTATTACTCTGCCATAGATCTTTAGTTATAGCATTCACTAGAATTATCACTCTGCCATATGTAAGTATTATGGCATTCACTAGAATTATAACACTGCCAGAAATGAATAGTTACAGCTTTCACTACAATCATCACTCTGCCATATGTAAATGATATGGCATTCTCTAGACTTATTACTCTGCCATAGATCTTTAGTTATATCATTCACTAGAATTATCACTCTGCCATATGTAAGTATTATGGCATTCACTAGAATTATAACACTGCCAGAAATGAATAGTTACAGCTTTCACTACAATCATCAATCTGCCATATGTAAATGTTATGGCATTCACTAGAATTATATCACTACGATATATATATAGTTATAGCATTCACTAGAATTATCACTCTGCCATATGTAAATGTTATGGCATTCGCTAGAATTATCAATCTGCCATATGTAAATATTATGGCATTAACTAGAATTATCACTCTGCAAAATATGTCTATAGTTATAGCATTCACTAGAATTATCACTCTGCCATATGTAAATGTTATGGCATTAACTAGAATTATCACTCTGCAAAATATGTCTATAGTTATAGCATTCACTAGAATTGTCACTCTGCCATATGTAAATGTTATGGCATTCACTAGAATTATCACTCTGCAAAATATGTCTATAGTTATAGCATTCACTAGAATTATCACTCTGCCATATGTAAATGTTATTGCATTCGCTAGAATTATCAATCTGCCATATGTAAATATTATGGCATTAACTAGAATTATTACTCTCCTATAAATCAATAATTACAGTATTTATTAGAATTCACACTCTGCCATATGCAAATATTATGACATTCACTAGAATTATCACACTGCCATTTGTAAATGTTACGACATTAACAAGAATTACCACTCTGCAAAATATGTCTATAGTTATAGCATTCACTAGAATTGTCACTCTGCCATATGTAAATGTTATGGCATTCACTAGAATTATTACTCTCCTATAAATCAATAATTACAGTATTTATTAGAATTCACACTCTGCCATATGCAAATATTATGACATTCACTAGAATTATCACACTGCCATTTGTAAATGTTATGACATTAACAAGAATTATCACTCTGCAAAATATGTCTATAGTTATAGTATTCACTAGAATTATCACTCTGCCATATGTAAATGATATGGCATTCGCTAGAATTATCAATCTGCCATATGTAAATATTATGGCATTAACAAGAATTATCACTCTGCAAAATATGTCTATAGTTATAGCATTCACTAGAATTATCACTCTGCCATATGTAAATTTTATGGCATTCGCTAGAATTATCAATCTGCCATATGTAAATATTATGGCATTAACTAGAATTATCACTCTGCAAAATATGTCTATAGTTATAGCATTCACTAGAATTGTCACTCTGCCATATGTAAATGTTATGGCATTCACTAGAATTATTACTCTCCTATAAATCAATAATTACAGTATTTATTAGAATTCACACTCTGACATATGTAAATATTATGACATTCGATAGAATTATCACACCGCCATATGTAAATGTTATGACATTAACAAGAATTATCACTCTGCAAAATATGTCTATAGTTATGGTATTCACTAGAATTATCACTCTGCCATATGTAAATGTTATGGCATTCACTAGAATTATCAATCTGCCATATGTAAATATTATGGCATTAACTAGAATTATCACTCTGCAAAATATGTCTATAGTTATAGCATTCACTAGAATTGTCACTCTGCCATATGTAAATGTTATGGCATTCACTAGAATTATCACTCTGCCATATATGAATAGTTATAGCATGATAGATAGATAGATCGTCTTTATTTCCTCCAAAATTGAAGATACATATGCATGATTTAGCAGATATTACATTTTACAAGGTACAAGTGTATGAAAGTTATACAATACAAAAACATTTAAAGATATGTATATATGGGGGGGATGTAAATCTAGTAACATGTGATGAAAAACCGTTTCCATTCATGAACAGCTTTACTCGTGATTTTCATACATTGAATCCATAGATCAGTATCAAGATCTCTAATGTTGTCATTTGGCACTCCTCCAAGTAGAAAACTAATCAGTGCATCATCATCATCATTCCAAACACTTACAAAGGTTGTAACATCCAATAGATCAATGAGGGAGCTAAGTAGTCGCTCTCTGTTACATTCCGTTTGTGGACAAAAGAGAAATACATGTTTTACAATGTCATAAGCATATGTGCCACATAAGCATTCTTTAGATTGTATAGCGAAAGTGCCGACACGGATAAGGTAGGATATGTCATAGAAATAATCTGAATCATTAAGAGCTATTAACCAAAGTTTGTTACTAGCAGCTGGATTGCGTAGGAGAGCGTATCTGTGGAGATTGACTCTGTAGTTAAGCTCAGAGGTAACGACATTTGCTTCAAATTTTGAGACTTTATCTCTTACAAGATTTGACCATTGATTTTTGGTAACAAATACAGATGAGTTACGATAAATGTCAACATATTCAGTAAGATCATATTTACAGGTAAGATATAACATATGGTGTAAAGGAGAGGATTTACACTTCAGCATGTTTTGCATACTATCCTTACAATCATGTTGAGCTAATCTATAGTGAAGAATTCGTTTGAAAATGAAACTAATATCAGTGTTAAGCAGTCTTCCCAGGAACAATAATGCTCTCTGATCAATATACGCACGTAGTGATACAAGTCCAAGACAGTCTCTGGCAATGACCGAGCACGTGCGTTTAGAGAACCCTTGTACTTTTTTACAGAAGTACTTTTGCACACATTCAAGCATATCGTATTCTTTAGTTGATATGTTACACCACATATTACAGGCAAATAGACCACAGGGTAGTACAATACGTTCCCATATGCGTACAGCATGCATAGGGTGAAGACCACCAAAATACAATCCATGACTGTGGTTAACATTGACTAGCTTTCTAAGCTTTTCACATATTAAAACAGTACGATTAAGGGTAGATTTAGCGGTGTTTATGTACAGGCCCGCATATACGACATCGGTTTTGCGGTTAATAACATGATCACCCAAAAATAGCTCTGGGCATTCGTGTTTATGATAATCACCAAACAGAAGGAAGGCACTTTTACCAGCATTAAACCTAAGGTGCCATGTTTTTGCATAATCAGATATAACATTCAATAAACATTGAAGACCATCGGGTGTACAACTTAATAGGGTTGTATCATCTGCAAGTAGGATACCAGGGGTAGTGGCCCAGGGCAGGTTTAAGCCTCTTCCTGAATTATCAGCAGCATTTAACAGATCGTTAATGTACAGTGTAAACAACCAAGCCGATAGGACCCGTCCTTGCCCAACACCCTGACGTATTTCAAAGGTATCCGAAATATGTCCGCCAATGCTAATACGTGATTTCATTGATGAAGAAAGTATGTATAAAAGTCTCCACATTTTACCTTTAATTCCAAAGTTGTGCAGTTTTAGGAAAAGACCATTAAGCCAAACCCGGTCGAATGCTTTTCATTATCGACAAATGCACAGTATACTGGCGTTTCTCTTTCATTGTAGTAAGCAATAGTTTCTTGGAGCGTAAATAATGCGGTCTCTGCTCCAGCACCTTTTCTAAAACCAAACTGAAAAGGGTGAGGAAAATTCTTTACTTCTGTTGCCCAGCTTTCGATTCTATTCAAAAGCAATCTTTCAAAAAGTTTACCTAAAACTGGAGTAAGTGTGATGCCTCTGTAATTAGAAGGGTTATCCTTACTTTTACCATGGCCTTTGTGGATTGGAAGTATATTCCCACACTAAACAACTTAGGAACATATTCATAAGAAACAATATCATTATAAAACGTAAGAAGGTGGTTGATGAGTGATCTTCCACTAAATTTAACATGCTCATTTACAATATGATCCGGGCCTGGGATTTACCCGTCTTCAATGATTTTACAGTTTTCAATAGTTCATCACCAGTAAATGGACATAAAAGATTCATACTGGTGTCATTACAGTCATCAACGTCTTGTCTTGTGACAAGATCTTCAATAAAACTATTAACAAAACAGGTAAAATCTTGATCAAAATTGATATCTTCATACGGCTGGGAGAGATCCCTAAAGTACTTAGCAAATAGGTTACAGATACTTTCTGGAGTGTCACAGGTCTCGTTCTCGTACACAAGGGTTTTAACTCGTTCTTTATTGCGTTTGTACTTTTTTGTAACCCTGGTATATTCCTGAATATCAACTTCGGCTGCTTCATAGATGTCCCTGAACTTTTCATCTTGAAGTTTACGTTTTGATCGGCGATGTTCTTTTCGAAAGATTCTCTTAGCCTGCTTATATTTTACGTAGTGAACATCGTCCTTATTTCGTGGCTTACCCATATGGACCCATTCTTTACGTGCGTGTCGCATATCGTTATGACATGGCTTTAAATTATCCCTCTTCCAGTAGGGTTTTAAATGGGATTGAAATTTTGAAGCAGGAATACTGATATTGGCTGAAGCATGTAATGAATCAAGGATGAAATTATGGTAGGCTTCAATATACTCCTCTGGTGTGTTGTAATCAGCTATATCTAAACTGACATTTCTGAAATAATTTTCAGTCTCATAGCGATAAAGCATCAGATCAATGC